ACTCTCATGTACCTTCCAACTTTTGGAATTCTGAGAATGTATTCTCTTCTGCAGATGTCAGAGCTAACTTGCTCAAGTATAAGAATCCCTTTTTCTGTTCACAATGAAGAGTCCTACATAATGTACAATTTAGGATATCAATCCATACAAAGGACACATTCGTGTATTATAAACATGATGGAGAAGGATACTGAGAAATTATGTGGCAATTGCAGATGTTGGCTGTGAGCCTTTTCCTTCCCCACCCCCCTTGCTATTGACATAGTGAGATTCTATTTTCTTTTAGCTTCCCTTATGAGATTATATTAAGTTGTGTGTTAGTCTTCCTCACTTTCTTTTAGCAGATATTAGCTACTTGCTAATATATCTCTTTGGTGATTAAATCCATTTACCATAGAAATCCATATCCATTTTTTGCTCAGTCAAGAACATCCTATGCATTTACAGCAATATGCTACCATGATCCCATGTTTTTCTCATCAAAATGGTGGGCTATTTCACTTCCGCTACCTTATTTTTTCCCACTCTCTGTGCTTCATTTGATCTGAGGGTTTCCTCCCATGGGATCTGCCTAATACTTGTTGAAATTAGCTCTTCTAAAATCAATATGTGTGTATAACCATGCTCTGGTTTCTTTTTCTGAAGTAACTTCAACCCCAAAGTTAAATAACCACTTCTTCCAAAGTCCCCACTGCTTCTACCTCTTCAATAAGCTCTTTTCTACTGGTTAGGATCAAATATAGTTTTCAATTCTCATTGTTATGGGAAATGTAACAATCGGCAAGACCAGATAGGAATTTGGGGACTTTGCAGGCTGGCACGAGTTAGTTTTTTCAAGGGATGACTAGATGGTTGAAGGTTCCACTACTGTTATCTCTCTTTTCTCTGAAAGTTCTGTAACATGATCTAGCAGGGCATTATCCAAATTATATGCCTGGTTTAGTGGTCTATAGCACATTTCCACAAATTGTTTCCACATTTTGTTTCCCTTCATAGCAATCAATGTAAGTATCAAAGTGATATCATCATAGAATGTAAAACATGAAGTAGTGCAATAGAAATAGACAGGACACAACTGGAGAAAAAAGGGGCATAAATCTATGTAAGGGTTACATGTAAGCAAAGTAATGACAACTTAGAAAAGATCATGATACAAGGTCAAAATATTTCTATGACATAACGGTCATAGTGAAAGCATTGTATATACTGAGCCACGGTGGCGCAGTGGTTAGAGTGCAGTACTGCAGGCTACTTCTGCTGACTGCCAGCTGCCTGCAATTTGGCAGTTCAAATCTCAGCAGGCTCAAGCCTTCCATCCTTCCTAGGTGGGTAAAATGAGGACACAAATTGTTGGGGGCAATATGCTGATTTTGTAAACTGCTTAGAGAGGGCTGTAAAGACTGTAAAGCGGTATATAAGTCTAAGTCCTATTGCTATTGTTCTTTACAGGGATAATGCCTATGAAAAGCAAACACCAAGAAAGAGTAAAACAAAAATCTGATTCCTTTGAATTATGGATTTTGTTACCATTGTTACTAAGAATACCACTGGTCCTGGAGCAAATAAAAGCAAGGTGTTCCTTGAGTTATTATGCAAAACTCACATACTTGGAACATGTGATGCATAGATTTAAAAAGATTATTAAATTTGAGCAAAATAGAAGAAGGGTATTCAGGTGTATGGAGATATCTTTTGGGAAGGAATGTGAGAACTGTTAAGTAAATGTCAATTTAACCTTGGGAAAGAAGAGAGAGTGAGAAAGAAACTCAAGATAACCCTACCTTAATACTGTTTGGTATAAGAAGGGACAGAAGAAAATTCTTTCATATTTTCAAGGTTCTGTTATTGAATTCTCCAACAGTAAAGCAGAGTTCCAATAGTTTTTGCGAATTCTGTTTTCTGACCTCATCTTTCTTGAAGGACTGACAAAGGGAAAGACAATGGATGTAGATGTATGGGATCAAAAAGATTATGGCTATATCCTTGGAAAAGCACCTAATAACTACTAGGGACAGATTAAAAATTGGAACTGCTGCCATCCGGACTTTAACCAATTCAGCATGTGACAGTTCCTTTCTAGTTCTCTTTTCAATATGTATAGTTTTTCCTGTGACTCAACATTTGAGCTATTATTTTATTTTTTCACATTGCCACCTTCCAGTCTATTCCCACTTTATTGACCATGACCCTATTGAGTTTTCTGGGATCTGATGCTTATACTGCTCTTCTACACTCATAATGTTATTATGTGATTATATGAAACTGCTTTACTGAATATGTTAAGGAACTGATATAAAATCTCAGGACCAATAGAAGGCAGTTGTCCCTTACAATGAAGAAAGGTGACTTTAGGAGCAGACTCTGTACCTATTTAACATCTCCAAGCCATTTATTAAGTGATGGAATTTCCCTGAATTCATAGATGAGCGAATCTACTCTCAAAACTCTTACTGGAAGCTAGTACAGTCGACATTCAACTTTGCTTAATACAAAAATACAAGAAACATTTTTTCTTGATACCATTTATGTCTGTTCCAAAGGAAATTGAGAGCCCAAATTTCATATCCAACTATTGTAGATTCACCAGGAAACAGTCATCAAAGTTATCACAGATTGCACCTTCAAATAACATCACCATCATAATAAAATCCAATGCTCCAATCAAACTGAATATTTTATTGAGCTATAGATTTGTGGATCATTTCTTTGTTATTGTCATATGTAAAGAGGATCTTATGCACTCATAGATCTCTCTTAGACATCCCTCTATAAGTCCAGTTAAGTTCAGTTGTAGGAAATAACTTTTTACTGTTTCTAACACATTCCTTCATTTTTATATCGCTTTTAAAGCTGCTCATAAAAATCCTGATACTAACAACAATTGAACTGAGGCAAGAAACCTGCATATGAATGCTTGCACAATATCCTCATCTGCTGTGTTTAAACATGAGAGTTCATTGAATATCCAAGCCATATAAAAGTTTCCTTTCTGCTGTCCTGGGACATACAGTATTTGAACTGAAGTTCCTTAATATGAAAACTGATTTGGGTGGCATAGATGTCAAAAGCAGGATCACCATGAATTCAAACTTCAATGTGCATTTTTAAATGATGATGAAATGTTGCTAAACTCTGATGCATCATTCAAAGCCAGTCTGGCTTTTCAAAGCTCACACAAAGGTGGATGCTGCCATCTTTCTACTGTAAGTCCACCTACTAGAAGAAAAAAGGGGGAAAAGAATTGGCATAGATTGAACATATGACAGGTGCTCAACTTCAGCTGAGTAGATAGGCTTTGTTTTGAATGATTAAAGAGTCTTAGGTGTGAAAGAGTGAGAAGAAGAATAGTAGCGTTAGCATTTCTTCGTAGAAAATTTCCCCAGGAACAGATTAGATCTATGGGCTTTTGTGCATGCAATTTATCAGACATTACAATTTTTGAGGAAAAATTTCACTGCAGTTGCTACGTTTAAAAGAAAGATGTGCTGAGGACTTGAAAATACTGTTTCATCCAAACACGCATGTCACTCTGATACATCTCAAACTCCAAAGAAATCCAGGGGAAGAAACAGATGCTTTGTGTTACTTTCAAAATACATTCCACTAAGGTCATTTAATTTTTTCTGGCTGAATGCTTGACAACATTCTGACTTGTTAATATGTATGTGTAGAGTTCGGTCCTGTTTTCCCGCTGCCTTTCCAATATTGATCACAAAAACATAGGAAGCTTCCTTATACTGAATAAAATTATTAATCCATCTAACCCATATTATCTCCAGAGTCTGACAGCGATGGTTCAAGTTTTTAGGCAGGATTTTTTTTTTTTTTTTTTTTGCAGTCTTACTTGGAGATGATAGGGATTAGTAGAGGGCTTTCTAAACACAAAGTTGTATTCTATGAAGAATAGCTATGAAACCTCTGGATATGTTTGGATAGGGACACTCTACTTCTTGGAAACCCTTTCAGCTTTGTCTAAATCTAAAGGGAAAGAATAAGATGTACAATTAGAAGGCTGTTAAGACTTGGAAAACAGAAAATCACTGTAAAAATACCCTACTTTATGACATATCACTAGCAATATATTTAATTATCATGACTACTAGTACCAGGCTGCATAGAAATTGTATTTTACCATAAACATGGATAGTGAGTTGTTTTATATTAAGAGGTTAAAAAAATAAAAACATACTTTCAAATCGGTATTCCATGTGTACATATTCAAGTCCACTATGAGCAAATGACTGATACGCAGTAAGTTTTCAGCTGTGCCACAGATATGCTTGCTTTTGAAAAATCTTACTTATGACAACAGGATTTTTGCCAAGTGCTTTTACTGGCAAAGTGGTTGTTCTAACAGACTTCTTAAAACAATCTTTTGTAATCTATTTCCAATGTAAAAGGCATAAGCTACCTTTTCATCTCTAGGTTGTTATTATTTTTTTAACTTAAGGTACATAGTTCATTCTAAATGTTTCTAATGTCTGTTACAATTCATAACTATTTCATTCTACAGTTCTACAGAGGGAGGGAGAGAAGGAGTGGAAGAGGGGGGAGAGACAGAGAGAAAGAGAGAGAAAGAGAAATAATATTAATTCCTCCATTTACTTGTCTAACTGTTTTTGAAGGAATGAATGTGAATTAACGGTGTTATCCTTTCCTAACAATTATCTTTCGCTACTCTAGCTAGTTTAGTTCTAAAAGACAGAGCCATTGACAAGGGAGAAAAAAAGAACCTTCTCGGATTTTTTCAGCTCAGCGGTGGTAATGTTGCACTGAACACTAATGAGGGAACCCCCACTGGTTTGCCTGCTTTGTGACTTTTCTATTTCATAATTATTTTTAAAACGCAAAACGACATGAGGTAGCCCAGTCATGCCTCTTCTACTTCCTGCTACCTCGGTGTTCACTACAGATGGCAATTTGTTCTTGTAACATATATGTCTCTCTGACCATTTTCATCTAATTTGTATGGGTTCTACCATTTCCTTTCTCTCTTTCAGGGGCCTTGCTGTGTGTGAGCTGGGGGGTGGCATGACATGCTTGGCTGGGCTTATGGTAGGTCTTTTCTCAATCCCATTTCTATTCAGAGGGGGGAACAAAAGGGAAAAATGTTCCAGTGCCTCCAACGACTGGGTCAGAGAACTGTCAACAGAATCAGCTGCAGTCAAGCTGCAGAATCTTCAGAGACCTTCTAGACTGACTGGCTTTCGTATTATATCGATTTTATGGTTGCCTCGACGAGGAGAAACATTTTACCTCAGTGTAGTCAATATCTCTTGTTGTGACATTCCAGGCCACATACACTCCGTCTTTCAGAGCCATAGCTAGTGCTCCCCCATGCCCCCCCCTTTCAGATTATACTTCACCATTTGCTAAGATACAGGAATAGCCTGGCGAATCACAGTTGGAGCACCATGATATAGCTGCTAATGTTTTGCCTGCATTATTACACCAACAAACATGATCCAGAGCTCTCGGTAATTAGATTCTTTTGAATTAGATTGGCCATTCAGAAGCGTCATTCACCATTCTCTAGGTTCTGAGTCATGTATTCAGGAGATATTATGTAGCAGTGCAGTGCATTAGACAAGTTTTTATGTCTCTACAAATAAAAGCATATTGTTACACTGATTGGCATTTGACAAACCTGTCGTTCTTACACAATGTGTCGAGGTTACAGCCCAATGTGCGAGCATGTCAAAGCTCACAAAAAAATTACCCTTACAAAGCCATCTGCCTGCAATGCAAAGTTATATGAAGGGCATCAGGCAGTCAGACAGAAGCAAGCTGAAAGGCAGAGTGACAGCCTCGGATGATGGCTCTACTAGATAAACAGAAGCCCGCAAATGAAAGCCTCTCAGAATACCATCATCCGCTGTCACAATGCAATTACGGAACTGAATGATAGCAAGATAGAGGCTCCCGCAAATGGAATGATAAAAGTATTGACTGATTTGATTGAATGATTAAAATAATGCAGACATAAAATGAAAAAAGATTGAAGACTGTTACAGGGAAATAGGTGAGGAAGCATGATACTGAAGGCTTGTCACTCCTGTCTTCACTTCCACACAGACAAGCATATTTGCTCATTGTTTGCTGTGCTCTTTTTCTCTCCCTCTCCCCTCCCCCTCCTCCCTTTCCAGGTTGCTATTTCTGCAGATGTCAAAGAAGTTCTGTTAACTGATGGAAATGAAAAGGCTATCCAAAGTATCCTTATTCAGTTAGAAAACTGATGTGTTGGATTCATTCCATTTTGTTGGGTTCATGTTCAGTATAAAAATAGAACAAGGGCTTATATAACAATATGCATTATTTATATTGTGGATGGGTGTACGTGTGGATATACATACATACATACATACATACATGCATACATACATATTCATATTAAATATAAAACACCCACCCACTTCGTGAATAATTATTTGAATGTATATATATATATATGTGTGTGTGTGTGTGTGTGTGTGTGTGTTTTCTTAAGCTGAATACCATACATACATACATATATACACATACACATACACATACACATACACATACACATACACACACACACACACACACACACACATATATATATATATATATATATATATATATATATATATATATATATA